GTAGTTTTTAATTCATAAATTATAAAATATAAAATAAGTATATAAAGAAGTTTTGTTTTAATTTATATAAAATGTACTTATAAATATTCATATAAATGATGCACTCAGTATTCTGTGACGTTTTTTGGTCAAAAAAAAAAGTATTCTGTGACGTTGAATTTTTTTTTTCCTGAATAGGTAAAAACATAGATGGATTATATATTCGGGGGTTCACCACTATACAATCACCTAGCGAGATCATGATTTTTTTTTTTAATCTCGATGTCAAGGTTGGATTTTCGACGCCCAAACGAAGGAAAATTACACCAATAACATTCTCTAGTGAGCAGAATTTTTTTTTTCTGGTAAAAAAATCCCGAAGAAATGTTTGAGGCCGTAGCTGACAAAAGAACGCTAATCATGTAAGTCTTAGGGTGTGTTTGGATTAGCAGTGGAGAAGTAATTTTTTTTGCAATTTGACTTTGGGTAAAAGTCAGATGGTAAATTGTGATTTATGTTTGGATTGGCTTTTGTAAAAAAGTCAGTTTGAGAAATTAAAAGTTGTTTGGATGATTAATAAAAAAGTCAGTTTAGATACAAAATGATTAAAAAGACATAAATTTTATTAAGTAATATATATATTTAATATTAAATGTATATAATGTGACAATTATAAAGAAAATATTAAAAATAAAATTATTAGAAATAAAGAAATTAATTTATTATTATGAAGAAATTGAAAAAAATACTGAAATACTTAATTGAATATATTTAATGGATATGTGTGTGTATATAAATCATTTGCCACTAGCTCTATTCTTTCTCGTTTTTTCAAAGAGGAAATATGTATATGAAAGAGGGTTAGGAAGGCAAAGAATTTAAAGTGCAATAATAAATGCTCTCCAGTAGTTTTCTCTACCATACTGATGGTCTTCACCGTTAAAAGTAAGATGATGTAGCTTATAGAAAAAGCTCATTTGAGGCAGAAAGTCAAATTGCCAAATCGCTGAGCCAAACATCACCATTTCATATAAGCTAGCTTTTACCGGTTGAGAAGTCAATTTGGACTCTCAAACATAATGCCAAACACACCCTTAATTGAGGGGCGTGCTCCCAACTTAGCTGCATATTCTCGAGGACCACACAATCATTTCAAAGATGTTCCATCGGTCTTACTGACTAATTCCGTCACATCTTAAACAATAAAGAAACTTAAATTATATCTTGGCACAGATAGGTTCAGGCTTTTGTTTTTTCCTTTTTTGGGTAAAATAAAAGATCTTCAAAATTTAATACTTTTATTTATAAAGCAAAGAAAATATTTTTAGTCCTATTCATATTTTATTTCATTAAATTTTTAATATAAATATATTATTTTATCTTTTATTTATTATAGTGTAAGTAGTTATTTCTTTTAAAAAGTATACATATTAAATATGAGTAAAGTTGAAAAATTATTATATTTTAATTGAGAGTTAATGCATTTTAAGGTTTTTCTTGGTTTATATAAAATATGCTGAAAATATCTTATAAATAGGATCAGAGGAATATACCACTTCATTCCATCTTATTTATAAGATTATAACTACACATTAATTCTTAATACAATTTTTTTTATAAATTTTAATAAAACACTATGACTTGATTTGAAAAATATTTTACACTCCTACCTACGCTACAAGCATGTCAGAAGATCAAGTGAGATGATGAGACGATGATTTATTGAATTAATTAATAATTAATAACAGGAAAAGAGTGGTGTAATGAGATGAGATCCGATGTGGATCTGTAGATTCTAAAGCAGCGGGGCATGTGAAATTAAGAATACACTAACCATTAGTTTAATTAGTGTGATTTAAGGAGTGTTTGGATAGAAACCAAACCATGGTTTCAGAAGTACTTTTACGGATTATAAAGTAAATATATGGAGGAGGTTATCTCGTTTTGCGGAAAAGTGCTTCTGAAACCACGGTTTTGGAGCACCCAAACAGGCCCTTACTCATTTTGTAATATAATGATAGTCTCACTTAGTCTGACAAAATCCTTAGATTAATTTAATTCACTAATCACTAATATATTATTAGTCTCTCTTCCCCTCCTGTTACGCCTTCTCATAAACACCATACAGTTATTCAAATCTGGGCTCTTTCTCTTCGTTTTCAATGGTCCAAAAAAATAATGGAATCCAAATATCATCTCCACATAAAATTAACAAAAAATAAATATTTAATTATTAATTTGTCATTTATGTGTACCAATATAATCCAGCATATTCATGTTCTCACTCTAGGAAAAAAAATGTAAACCTTCTCTTTCACCATATTATCCAGTCAATGATATTTATATCACTATATTAATTGGCAAACCTTCTCTTTCTTACTCATTACATCTATCACCTTCCCTCTTTATAAATAAAGGCATTTGAAAGCTGAAAAAAGGGCATTCTAAGAAAAATATTCTATAAATATATATTGTTTTAATTGATTTTAACCAAGTTTTTATCACTTGATTATTTCTATCTTATAGTTATATACAACCTTCCATCTTCAATACTACCTCCGGTCCTAATTATAAAACTCAATTGACTAATTTGGAAAGATTAAGAAACTTAGTTAAGTTAGTTTTTTATAATGAATATATGTTATTTTTCCTAAAATATCTTTACTAATCAAGTTTGTTATCTATAACTATTATTATTAAAGGACTATCTTGAAAAAAATGAATAAATATGAAAGACAAAAGTGGATTGGGGTCTTATATTTAGAACCAAAATAAAATCAAACGAGGTCTCATATTAAGGACTGGAGGTAGTATAAGATTTAATTTCATTAAACGCTAGAGATAGTGTGTGTAAATGGTCAGGAGGGTTACTATTGAATTAATACTTTACATACAAGTTGGTAATATTGATCCCAAAAAATTAAGATCATAAAATAGCCCATGAACCATTAAGTCCAGCAAACTTCACATTCATTCCCGTATGATTGTTTTTTTTTAGGTTTACATTTTTTGCAAGAGATTGACCATTTTCATAAGCTATACATGGGAGATGTTTGGATGTCTGACATGTTTTTTATTTTAAATTTTTACTTATTATCAATTATATGTTTTTTTTATCTCTTTTTTTCATATGTTCTATCTCACATCTTTTTCCTTTCAGCCTCTTCCACCATACACTCTCCATAAATTAAACATGTTTATTATTCTTAACCAATTTTAATCAAATTTTTAATTTGTGCAATTTAATTATTTAAGTCTCGTTAAAAGACCATGGAAGGATTAATAATTGAAAGTGTGTTATCAATCCCCATATGGAGCGTATAACACAAAAGCCTTCAGATTTCTAACCGTTTTCCCATTCTTGGATCTGATGGAAAAAATGGTCAAACAATTAAAAATGGTCAAATGGACAAGCCGTAATGCCAAACATCCCCATATCTTACCATTGATTCATCATGACATGCAATTCTTTTCCTCAGTTGACGAAATGACATCTTAACGAAACCAAAGTGATTTTATGAAAATATTCAGATAAAACAACTTTGACTTATTACAAATCATGCGTGTGTGTATTCAAATTGACCTCTTCCTCAAATTTATGAATTATTTTTATTAATTGCATATATGAAAAAAAAAAAATTTTGGCCAACATGAAAGGAGATTTCTATCAATAGAGTAATGATCTTTCAAAAAACAAAACATGTTTTATTATAAATAATTAATTTAATTATTTTTTAAAGATTATAAAATAGTTATTAAACTCATATATAAGACTGAAGGGAGTATTTTAATTATGAAAACACGTGTGTTGGGAAGATAAATTAGTAAGAAGTTTTAAACTGCATAATACTCTTTCGGTTTTTAATACAAGACCTATTAATTAATTTGATTAGGTTAAAAAAGTCATATAAGTTAGTTAATTACTCATCCGGTCCTTAATATAGGATCTAATTCTTGAGTTGATTTTAATCTTAAATATAAGACCTATTTCTCATATTTATCAATTTTTTCTAAATTACCGCTATGGATACTCCATCAACCATAATCAAGTAGAAGAGGGAGAGGGAGTAATAAAAAAGATGATTATGATATTTTAGGAAAAATATGTCACTTTTCTTATACTTAACTAACTTCCTTCATCTAATTAAATTAGTTAAATGGGCCTTATATTAAAGACCGGAGGAGTACTATAAGAAACATGACATGTGTTTTCTAAAATAGCATAGTCATATTTCTTAATCTTTTTTTTCCCTCTCTTACTTAATTAGGATAGAGGGATTATCAATAGAAATAATTTAAAAAAATTAATGAATATGAAAGATACTCAACAATTAGATCTTATATTAAGAATTAATATCAGTCCAATAATTAATTCCTATATATTAAATACAAGAGTAGTGCATCTTAAGCTATTCATAAAATCCAATGCACTTAATATCAAACCGTTACTTCCACAGTGAAATGAAACGCAATCTGCACCTTATTGATGAGTTACAGGTAGAATTATTGGTGCGACCATAAAATTGCCAGCCAGTCGTCTTCTACCTACAGTTACCACCTTCATTGTTAGATTTCATAAAAGAGAAAGAAAGAGAAAACAAAGAAAGGAGAAATGGAAGATAGACGATAGTGTTGCTGTGTGGGCTTAGGCGCTTAGCTGGACCAGGCGGTTTTAACGGAGGTCAAACTCCCACCATCACTGTGTCAGAGTCTCTCAACTTCCCATTTTGATTCATCCCTCTGCCCTACAAACCACACACCATTGCATTTTCTTGCTCTTTCTCTCTCCATTTCTTTCTTTTTCTCATTCCTACCATTTTCCTTCGTTCTTTAATTTTTCTGTTTTTCTAGGAGTGGGTGCTTCTCAATCGCGAATCGTGGGTTCTTTCTTTAGTCTCCGAGCACCAAAGCTTGATGCTCACTCCATAAATTTTATTTTCTCGGACCAACTTTTCATTTTTTTTTTTTCAGTTTCCTCAAATTCAAAACTTCCGTCTTCCCCTGTCTTCAGTCAGAAACAGAGAAAAGAATAGGTAGGGAAAGAGCAGAGATACATTGAAGACCAGGCATTTTTTTCTTGAGGTAAGAGCTTGTTCTTTCTTTTTTCCTTCCTCTTGTTAGAGAGACAGAAATGTCTTATCCTGTATTACGTTCCCCTAATTGTTATTGCAGACGATCATATGCACGCAAAAGTCATGCGTAGTTGAGCAAGATGAGAATGTTTGGATCTTGAGACATGGTGGATCATCGGCGAAACATATTGTCTCTTGGGTTCCTGTTCTTGTTGCTTTTTCAGTTCACATTTGAGCAGCTTGAGCCTCTGAGTTCACCCGCAGAGAGACTCGCCCTACTTCAGCTTCGATCTTCCTTGGGCTTGAGAAGCAGGGAATGGCCAATAAAAGCCGACCCTTGCTTAACCTGGAATGGCATACGCTGTGAGAGTGGTAGAGTCACTGGCGTCAATATTTCTGGGTTTAGAAGAACAAGACTTGGCAGGCAAAACCCACAATTCTCTGTTGACGCTTTAGCCAATTTGACTTTCCTGCAATCCTTCAATGCGTCCAAGTTTCTTCTTCCTGGTCCTGTTCCTCACTGGTTTGGCCAAAAGCTTTCTTCACTCAAAGTGCTTGATCTTCGTTATTGCTCCATCATTGGTGCAATTCCTTCTACTCTTGGGAATCTAACAAGCCTAACCACTCTCTATTTATCTGATAATAACCTCACTGGAATCATTCCTGATAGTCTAAGTCAACTTTCAGCCCTTTCTGTTCTTGATCTTTCCCGGAATTTTCTCTCAGGATCCTTGCCCGATTCTTTTGCCTTTCTTGGGAATCTTTCTTTCCTCGACATTTCTTCCAACTATTTATCCGGTTCGATTCCCCAAGGCACTGGGGCACTTTCTAAATTACAATACTTGAATCTTTCCAACAATGGCTTAACTTCTTCTATACCTGCTCAACTTGGGGATCTTAGTAACCTAGTTGACCTTGATCTAAGTGATAATTACTTGTTCGGTCTGGTTCCTCCGGATTTAATGGGGTTGAGGAGCTTGCAGAGAATGAAGCTTGGGAACAACATTCTTGATGGACCTTTGCCGGAGAATTCGTTTCATACTACATCGGAGTTGCAGTTCATAGAGCTGAGACAAAATAATTTTACTGGGGCCTTGCCTGATAGGTTGTGGTATCTTCCAAGATTGAGCTTTGTGGATGTCTCCGGCAATAAGTTCAATGGTGTGCTTCCTAGTTCTAGTTCTTCTGCTAATGCTACTCCTACAGTCAAGGGCAATTTTTCTCATAATCTATTTTATGGAAGCATCACTCCTCTGCTCAAAAGGTTCAGTTTCATCGATCTGTCGAGCAATTATTTTGAGGGCAAGGTTCTGGATTTCGCAGTCAATGCATCACTGGGTAGTAACTGCCTGCAAAATGTATCAAATCAAAGGGCAACAGAAGAATGCCTCTCATTCTATTCCAGGAGGGGCCTCTCTTTTCATAATTTTGGGCAAGCAAACATGACAAGACCTCGTGCAGCAGAGAGCTCTGGGAAGAACAATGGAAGAAAATTTATACTAGCAGGAATTTTGGGTGGAGTTGGTTTGATCGCAGTTTTGGTGTTGTTAATTCTGCGCACTCGTAAGCGGAGCAAATCAAATAATACAGGAGCTCGTGTGGGTGCTGCTCTTGCTGGAGGCAATCCTGCACCTACTGATGCATTGATAGAATTATCAAAAGCAGGAGACTCATTTACATATCAGCAATTGCTCAAGGCTACAGGCAACTTCAGTGATGCAAATCTTATCAAACACGGTCACACCGGCGATCTGTTCAATGGTGTTTTGGAAAGTGGGATATCTGTAGTGATAAAAAGGATTGATTTGCGTTCAACTGAAAATGAGAATGCTTACATGTCAGAATTGGACCTTTTCAGTAAAGTTTCTCATCCAAGATTGGTTCCCCTGTTCGGTCATTGCTTAGAAAATGACAAAGAGAAGTTCCTGGTTTATAAACATATGCCAAATGGGGACTTATTGAATTGCATGCGCAACAGAGAAACTACACATAAAGATGGTACATTGCAGTCTTTGGATTGGATAACAAGATTGAAAATTTCTATTGGAACTGCGGAGGCCTTGTGTTTTCTTCATCATGAATGCAATCCACCCTTTGTTCACAGGTCTGGATTTGCCTCTAGCTGAAAGTTGAATCTTTTGTTCTTCCAAAAGACATATAGGGCTTGCATAACATTAGTTTAAGTTAAACAGTATGAGTGGAGTGACTTGTCTGTATTTTGGACACTGCAGGGATATTCAAGCAACCAGTGTACTTCTAGATGATAAATATGAAGTCCGGTTAGGGAGTCTAAGTGAAGCCTGCACTCAGGGAGGGGATACTCATCAAAGGAGAATCTCAAGGTTGCTACGGTTACCCCAGTAAGTATTCTACTAACAACTTTTATTTTTATGAATTTCATTATGTCCGAGAGATCTTTCTTAATATGTTGTTTTCTCTTTGATTTGATCCTTTTGGCTGTTTATTGGAAAATATGATAGAAATGTCATACTACCTGTCAGATTTTACTTCATTGACATGTTTAGACCATGTCACTATAATTTTGGGGTGTTACCCTTCACATCTGTTTCTGATTAATCATTTCCGTCAGCATAGGCTTATGTTTGGTGTGGTGTCATACCTTCTTAGTAAAATTGCATGTAGTTAAAATGTTTGACTCCCTTCATTGTGAGCTTTTTATTAGCTTTGTACTACATTTGCATACGCATAGCATTTGTCATTAAAAATTGTCTAATTTCCCATTTATCTTGCTTGGGCATGCAGGTCATCTGATCAAGGCTCATCAGGTGAGTAGAGTTACTCAATTTAATTGCTGACGTGGATTTGTTAGCAGCTTTTTGTCCTAATTACATGAAGCATTCTCAGTGTATCTAATAATGCCATTTTAAGTAGGCATCTTCCATCATCATATACAGCAAATTTATTAGCTTATTATGCAGCTCTTAAAAGAATCAGATTCATGTCAGTTTCCCTTATCATATAATCATGACGCGCGAGGCTTTGCTCCTTGACTGAGAAAACAGTTCTCTTTTTTTAACACATGCTTCACATATTGTGAAAACAGGTTCATCATCACCAGCAGTTTATGCCTATGATGTGTATTGCTTTGGGAAAGTATTGCTTGAGATGGTAACTGGGAAGCTAGGAATTGGTGCATCCGGTGATGCACAAGTAAAAGAATGGTTGGAACAGACACTACCTTACGTTAGTATTTATGACAAGGATCTGGTAACCAAGATTGTGGATCCATCCATGGTTGTCGACGAGGATTTCTTAGAGGAAGTGCGGGCAGTGGCCATCATCGCGAGGTCTTGCCTGAACCCCAAACCTTCGAGACGACCCCAGATGAGATTTGTCCTCAAGGCTCTTGAAAACCCACTAAAAGTCATAAGGGAAGAGAGTTACAGTTCTGCAAGGCTGAGAACAACCTCTTCCAGAGGCTCTTGGAATGCTGCTCTGTTTGCTAGTTGGCGTCAGAATTCTGATGTAACTGTAGTTCCGGCAGTTTCTGGTTCAAGAGCTGAAGAAGGCCAGCTTTCATCGTCCCGGAGGCGTCGTTCGAATGAGATAGTTCCGGAACCATCTAGCAGCATTCAAGAGGAGGACAAGCTCGAGTAGTACCGGAGGAAGGCTCAAGCCTTTGTACATTTAAGGATGGAGACGAAATTGGAATGCAAATTCTTCTTGTTTTTTTTTGGGCATTTTCAGTGGTTTTGGACTAAGAAATTCGAGAGGTACAAAGAGGGACACGGTGGATATGGATACTTTTTTTTTTTTTGGCTGCTTGGTGATGTGTAGACGAGCCCCAATTCTTTCACATGTAATTGATTTTTTCCTTGTTCTGTCTCAAGTCATTTTGTAGAAAATATATTTTTAAATTTTAATTGATTTATCAGATTTTTTTTGGGTTCAACATTCGCTATCTCTTCGTTCATATGCGCCGAGGGTTTCGAAGCTCAAGTTCTTTCTCGTATATTGCTAGTTTGATGCATATTTAACTCGTTTCCATTTTAATAAGAGAACAAAATGTAGAATTACCAAGTCTTCATCATATTTTGTTTCTAAGAAAACAGCATCTTTCTATACAAAAATAAAATTGTATTGAAAGAGTTATCTTTTTTGCATGTTGTATTTGAGTTAAAAATCTGATAATAAGTAATTTAAAAGTTTTATCTGAGTCTTGTGACCCTGCCTTTTAAGATATGAGTTTTGTGACTCTGCCTTTTAAGATATATATCAAATATTTGGAATTCGAGATATTTATACGGCTCCCTGGTCCTTTTTACGCCCTCTCAGGCGGGGTGTCGGGGTCATGCGAGCTTGTTCAATCTTCGCTTTTCTATCTACGAGACCGACGAGACTAACGAAAATTTGATACGCCAAGCCTGAACAGAGCGAACTAACTGTTTGTCCATTGACATTCAACCTTATCCGTTGCCATCGCCATCTTCGTTCTTCAAAACCTTGGAAATGCTTTCATGTCAAAGATACCAGTTTCGCTCTCCATGCTCTCTCCCTCTCCAGTCCCTCTCCACCCCAACTTTCACCGTTGTCAACTGCCAAAATCCACATGGCCCAGATACCCAGAACTTCATTCTCCGCCAGCAGAACTCCAAATCCACCGCCTTTCTCCTTCACCAACTATCTCCCGACCGAGAAAACCATCATTCCCAGCCATTCAATCTCAAATCCGGTGACCTTCAACACAACATGCCGGATGAAGAAAAGATTAAGCTTTTAGAGCTTTCCCTTGTAAGGAGAAGAACCCCTCAGTTTCCTGGGTCTATCTATGTTCAATCTCCTAGTGATCCTGATGTGGGTTCTTCTTTGCCGCCTCTGCGAACTCTGTTTAGAGAAAAAGTGGAAGATGAAGATGCAGACGAGGAGGAGATAATAATGCGTGCGATTGAGATTCGAAGGAAGGTGACGCGAGAGATTTTTTTGGAAGCTATGAGAAAGGGCAAGTTTGGAATCACGTACGCTACCAATTTGGTCAATCGATTGACTGGTTTTATCGATTACGTCATGATTGAAGCCGCTTCGATGAAACGAATACCTCAGTATTCGCATTCTACTTTCAATTTACGCGCCAAAACTGTCATAGACGACTTACAAGTTGTGCCTCTTATCAGGTAGGAGGGCTACTAATTGGTATGTTTGAAGTTTCTGGCAAGGTGTTTGTTTGCTTGTTTATATGAAATCAACATGTCTACTTAATGGGATCGAGCATCAACGTCTTTGAATCATTTTGAGAATTTCTTGGTCGGAAAATCATTTTAAGATTTAATTAAGAAAAAAACTTCATGAAGCATATTGAATAAACTAATAATGGGGTCTCTGTATTGTTAGACTTATTCAACTTGGAGCACTGAAGATAATAAACTCTTTATGTCTTGGTCCTCCTAGCATTCTGGTCACTTGACTAAATGGTTAGTACACAATTAATTCGTCATTATTAAGGATTAAATACGCACTACAAGATTCACTTTGGCAGCGAACGGGACGAACAATTCGGAGACCAAATTATTAGTTTGCTCAAGATTTTTTTTTGAACTATAATTATTTCTGAAGAAGTTATGGGTTTGTAATTGAAAAATGCTTGCGATACGGTCAATTTGGAGGCTCATCAACTGATTGTCTGTCCTCAATCTAGATGGTTGAAGCATAATGCACTGTCATATCATCGGATATCCAAGCTCATTTTGATGTCAAGAGGAAACCTTGAGTCTATAAGACGTCTTGCTGAGTGGTTGAAGTCAGTAAAGGTGAAAGGAGAATTTCTCGGGGTTACACTTGTGAATGCTGGAGATAATATTCTTGATCGCAGCAATGGGGAACTGGATGGGATTGTAGAGTATTTAGAGAGCAAGGGAGTCAGGAGGGATTGGATGGGTTATGTGATAAGTCGCTGTCCTCAACTGCTATCTTACAGCATGGAAGAAGTAGAGACTCGTGTGAAATTCTACTTAGATATGGGCTTAAATAATCATGATTTTGGCACAATGGTTTTTGATTATCCTAAAGCTCTTGGTTACTATACTCTAGAAGAAATGAATCAGAAGGTAATTAGATTCTAATGCACTTTATGAAGCCTAAGATACTTCTCAGAACATATCTTCATTATATGCTTTGAATTACAGTATTTTTCTTGTTTAGGAAGTAGGACCAAGCCAAACATGAGGGCAGAGAATTTTCTCAAATTTAATTTAAGATATTTAGAATTGGCAAGCTTATACACAAATTATGACATTTTCTTAGTAATTTCCAGGTTAATTACTTGAAGGAGTTTGGGCTCAAAAGTGAGGATGTTGGCAGATTGTTAGCATTTAAGCCTCATTTGATGGGATGTAGCATTGAAGAAGGATGGAAGCCTCTTGCTAAGTACTTGTATTATTATGGGGTCACCCGAGATGGTATGAGGAGAATGCTTATGATCAAACCAATGGTTTTTTGTATTGATTTGCAGACAAATATTGTGCCCAAGGTATGTCATCTCCACTTTAATCTGCCTCATGTTTGAAGCTGAAGTCTAGTAAGGTTTGTGATATCAGCTACACAGGGTTGGTTCCCCCATTCGCCCTCATGAATGATGATATCTTACTCATTCCCTAGTGCATGTATGACGGATTCAAACATATATTTATTCAAACGATTTCTGCTGATAATAATGCTGATGACAGATTACCTATTCTTTTATCATGCAGGTAAAGTTTTTTCAGGATATAGGGATTCGAGATGATGCAATCGGAAACATGCTTGTGAAGTTTCCTACTCTGCTCACATACAGCCTCTACAAGAAGATTAGGCCAGTGGTTTGTCTTTTTCATCTGTGCTTTGGGATTTATCACCATAATCTATTTTATTTTCGGCCAATTCCTTACACTGTCAATAATGGAAGAAAAATAAGACTTCCTTCAAGTTATGTTTTCGGCAAGAGCAGTTAAGACTTCACTAGTAAAGGCCATTTAAGGACTTTGTAGGAGCAGTGCTAGTAGAGTGATCAGTGTTTTATCAATAATTGATTCTCAAGAAATTGGTATGCAGATCTATGCATACAACTGTGAGGTGGACATCTAGTGGCATGTCTTTAAGTTCCATAACAGTTTGCTTGGGGTATGTGCACTAGGTCCACCTTAGGATTCTCCCTAATTTTATATTTTCCTATTAGTTACACTTGAGTTTGATTGAGATTTGTGCCGAGAGAGAGATACTGCTCTCTACATCCTTTCAAATAGTTATTATCTGTCGTGAATTGATTAGTTCACTTGTCCATAATTTGACTAATGCTCATTTGAATGCCATATAGGTCATATTCTTGATGACCAAAGCTGGGGTCAGCGATGAAGATATCGCAAAGGCTATTGCTCTGGGACCTGAGCTCTTGGGATGCAGCATAACGCATAAGCTTGAAGTGAATGTAAAATATTATCTGTCACTTGGTATACGGCTTAAGCAACTGGGTGAGATGATTGCGGATTTCCCAATGCTGCTCAGATACAACATAGATATCCTTCGTCCCAAGTATAGTTATTTGCGGCGAACCATGGTCCGGCCTTTGGAAGAGCTCATCGAGTTTCCAAGGTAATTTTAGAAAGATAAAGTTAAGGCAAAGTCTTGGTAGGTTTTTGTCTTTCAATTAGCTAAGCCCCTCATTGTTGTCAGGTTTTTCAGTTATTCTCTGAATGGTCGAATTATTCCAAGGCACAAGGTTCTGGTGGAAAATCGGATTAATTTGAAGCTGCGTTACATGTTGGCTTGTTCTGATGAAGAATTCAGGAAATTGGTTGACTCTAAAATTAGAAAGCGACAAACACTGCTATCTGCAGACACGATTGCTGATGTTACGGAACCTCACAGATGAACAAATTGATGGCTTTCTAGAACATCAATTATTGGTTGAGGTTGTGTGAAGCGAAGCTAAATAATCAGACAAATGTATTAATCATCACCCTCCAGAGAAATGCCGGTGATAAATGATACATTTTTAGCATAACTGAGATACATGGTGCAGAAACTTCTTAGTAGAATGGAGGAACGGGAGATCCCACATCTTAATGAAACGGTGAAGAGTAACGATGAGATGGTTGAGGTAGGCTCATAACTTTGCTTCCTCAGAGCAGATCAAATAATAACGAGCATGGTCATTTTTCTTCTTGGTATGGCTCTCCTTTTCTGATTGGTCATTCCTTTTCTCGTTTTTTCAGAGGAAGGGGCATATAGCTATATTGCACAAACGCGTGTAGGAAAACAATTCGATTAGTTCAAATTAAGGAAGAACATAACTCTCAATTATACCTTGCAAAGAATAGTTGGTTCTACTTTATGTTTTGTTTCTGTAATTTGACACATCCAATTAATAATAAAATGACAGATCCTGGTCGTTGAGCCCCAAATGCTAATTTACGTATAAACTACAGTCTCGTCGAGATGCTGGATAGATGTACAAAAATGCTGTCACAATCAATTACAGCGTCTCGATGAAATCTAGCGATACAAGTAGGCAGGTGACATCTGAGAAAAATTGTAAACGACAAGCGACAATCTGAAAGTAGAAACGTCGAGTTTTACTCAATTCCAAGGCGACAGATTGGATTTCTCTTTATGAGACCAAGATCCACCTGCAAGAGAAAATACCAAGTTTAGGGCATTGCATCATAAGCTTTTAAGTATCTTTAAATTGAGATGGAAAGGAAAGAAATGACTGCGCTTTAGACAATTCCCACATAGTAGGGATTTAAGTCAAACATTTATTTCTTTTCCTTTTTTTTTGTTTTAAATTCTTAATTATTCGAACACATAATGAAGAAATGGTATTAAGTTATTACCTTGTGTCCAAATAGATCCCTGATAT